GTATGCATATATTTTGTTTAACTGCTTTTTTCCTTAGATACGATGAAATGGGTATCCTCTTCACAGTTTTGATTACTGAAGCTACTTTGGAGAATGGATTAATACACCTGAGAAGTAGAGACACAACAATGAAGGAAATGATGCATGTATCCAAAGTAAAAGACTTCTTAACCAAGTATATATCATCAGCTAAGAATGTATAGATTTTAATATTGGTTTAATAAATATTTGCCTTTTCTAATTTGGTTGTCTTACATTCACTTAGATTTTTTGTTAGCGCCTTTGTACTTAATGGACTTTTTTAGTGCTTTTTAAAAAATTCATTTTTATTATATTTCTTGATGTGTTCTATTGTATAAGGAATATGATCAGCTATAAGACACAAAAATCCTACTATACTGGATTAAGCAAATTGGAATTTGTTTTTCTCATTACAAGAAATCAAGGTGGGGGATACGCTGTCCAGAGCTGGTATAATCGTTTCCTCTATAGTTAGAGGCACGGGCTTTTGTTGTTACTCTGTTCCATTTGTAATGTGTTGGATTTTATCTTTATACCTGTTGTGTAATGGTCATATGGTACCTGCTGTATTTCTTGCTTTCTCGTCTACTTTCTAGTTAGGAAGAAAGTCAGAGAGACAAGCTAGCCAGCCAAGACTCTTCCTCCTATTTTAATTAGGAAATTAAAAGCTTTCCCAGATATCCCAATCAGAAGAGTTGTTGATGTTTCATTGGTCAGAACTTGGTCACATGGTCATTCCTAGGCTAATCACTGCTCAGAGGAATGAGATTCTAATGATTAATTTGGATCAAACACAATTTATCCCTTGGGGCTACAGTAGTGTCTTATCCTCTCTGAAATGGGTTTTGTTGTCAGGAAAGAAGGGGCCTTAGATGTTGATTATGCTTGTGTTAATTATATTATCATCATCAACCTGACAAAAATTTCAATGAATAGTTTGTATAAAGTATCTTGAGCCCTGGCTGGTGCGGCTCAGTGGATTGAGTGCCGGCCCACAAATCAAAGGGTTGTCTGTTCAGTTCCCAGCCAGGGCACCTGCCTGGGTCGCAGCCCAGGTCCCCAGTGAGGGGCATGCAAGAGGCCACTGATTGATGGGTCTCTTGCACATGATGTTCCCTCCCTCTCTTTCTCCCTCCCTTCCCCTCTCTCTAAAAATAAAATTTAAAAAAATCTTAAAAATATATACATACATTAAGAGATATCTTGAAATGGTGATTAACTTGTCACAAATTTTTATGTTTTGATTGTTACTTTTTGATATGCAGAATTTTGTACACAAACATGCAGAATAGTATCATTAATCCCATGTACCAACAACCATCAGCCCATGACCAGGTCTGTCCCATCTATCCAATACCACCCTTCCATATTATTTTGAAGTAGATTGTAGCTCTCATTTCTTTTGTAAATATTTTAGGTAAGGATCTTTTGTTAACCATTATCGCGCCTGAAAAAATTAACAACTAGATGATACTAAGGAATTATTGACAATTTCCTTAGGTATAATGGTATTATGGCTTTACAAAAATCCTCATCTAATAGAGACACTTAAATATTTTTGAGTGAAATTTTCCAGTTTAAACAAAAAAAGTGGTGGATTATAGATGAAAAATAAGAACAACACTGAGTTGTTGAAGGTGAGCAATAGGTACATGGGTGTTCATTGTACCACCTCTCTATTTTTGTGTGTGAGTTTTCATAATAAAAATTTTTTTAACAAATTCTTTAATATCAAATATTGATTCATTTTCTAATTTGTATTATTTGTTTGGATCAGAATTTAAAATTTAAATGACTTTTTTATTGAAATTGGTCTTTAGGTCTTTTGGCCTCTTGCCCTATAGATTCCTTCTCTCAGTCTCTCAGAAATTGGGTTGTTTGTTATAGGGTTTTCTACTGTTTGGGTTTTATTCATTCCTGTAGTGTAGTTTAGTTAACTTGTTCCTCTAGGTTGGAAATTGATTCCAGAGGTTTGATCAGCTTTTAAGTTCATTTTTAGGGACAAGATTATTTCATAGTTTATTGTGTTCCTCCATCGGGGGTCAGTAATGTCTGATTGTTTCTTTTTGGAGGGATGCTAGCAGTCATTGATCAATGCCTAGATCAGTCAGTTCATTGGTGGTGACAAAGTGGTGACGCTCTGATCCTGCCGTCTTTATTCTTTGGCTAGAATACTTCTACAAAGAAAAATATCTCATACTGTTTGCTTACAGGTATGGGAAAGTTTTGGGATACATCTGGGTTCATCCCCTTTAAAGTTAATTTTTTTGATGCTCAGATTAGCCTACCTTTGGCCAATGGGAACCTCTCAAGTTGGCTTCGAGTCCTTTTGACCCAACTTTAGTAGTAGTTGACAGTTTGCTTTTTATTTAGTATCTAACATAGAGATTGTGTATTTCAGAGTTTCCCCAAGGAGACCATACTCTGGGTACTAGGGATGCTCATTATTAGAAGGTGTTTTTGTTTCTAGGTCTTTTTCAGTGTTCAGAGCCAGCAGATATAGAAGTATGTATGGGTGTTTGTATTTCCTCCACCCATCAATTCAAATTCGGGATTGGAGAATGTGTTTGTGTGTGTGTTTTAATCAGCTTTATTGATATATAATTTACATACAAAAAACTGACCTATTTTAAAGGTACAAATGCAGGTTTTGACAAATGTGTAACCACCACAATGACAATATAGAATATTTCCATCACTGAAAAAGAATCCTCTTAGGTCCCCTTAGAACTATAGGGTTTTACTTAACCCTGTCTCTCATACAGCTGTATCTCCTCTCGCGGCAACAATCCCAAGCCTCAAAAACATCAGGGACGATAGAATGAGAACGCAGTGCCGCACACGCCCATTTGCTCTGTCTCACAGCAGTCTCAATTGAAAGACCAGATACCACCACATGTGTACTTAAAATTTTAAATTTCATTTTTGCAGTTTGAGGTTCAATACTTACTTTTATAACTGTGAGACACTAAAAAGTTTGTTTTAAGAGTGGTTTTTCTGAAGAGAATCTCAGTCCTACCCACCGATACTTTTATTCAGGTACCTCATCTTAGGGACCTCGGCCTTCACAGGCTTGTGTTCATGGTTGCAGACCATAGAATGCTGTAACAGGCAACGCAGAACCACTTTGGAAAACAGTGTGGCATTGTCTACTTAGATTGGAGATGAGCATACCTACGGCCTGTGCACATTCAACATAATTGCATGCACATGGGAACCGTGACCCTCGCATAAAACAGTCATAGCCCCATTATTTGTACTAGCCCCAAACAAACCACCACCCAGATGTCCCAGAAAAGAGTAGGTAAGTTGGGGAGATGGGGTTGTGATTAGGAAGAAGCCTGCAGAGAGTTTCTAGGCTGCTGGTGACATTCCATCAATAGTGTTCACTTGATATAATTTATTACATTACATATATATTTTTATGCATTTCCATATAATGTGCCATTCCACAACAAAAAATGTTTTAAAAACATAGGTGGATTTGAAAAACAATCAAGTGAAACTTCGAGACATGAAAAAAAGTGAATGTGCCGCCTTCCCTTCCTAAACAATTCAATGCAAAAGCTAGGGCAGGGGAGGGGAGGGGGGCACGGCTGCACGCTGAATACCTGTGCAGGGGCGAGGTGGAGCTGGGGAAGTGGTCGTTGGGAGGACTATGTAAGGATAATTACACAAAGCACTGAAAAGTACCTGGAACCTGGTATGTGCTCAACACAGGATAGTTATTGCCGTTACTATAGTTGTTACAAAGGAAATGTTGAGAGAGAGCATACCAGCCACTTCTGTCCTGTGTCACATCATCTGGGCCTCTCCTCTGATTTCTGCTGCATCTACAGCTTCACTCACTTCATGTGGACATCTTCGTGCTTCAACCGTGGAACACATATAACTCATTTTCTGCCCCGGGGCTTTTCAGGGCCCTGGGTCAGCGCTAAGGGAAGGCAGCTTGGAATGACCACCTCTGCAGCTCAGAAGTCGGGGTGGGGGGAGGGCAGCCCTCAGCCAATGGATAAATGTTCCTCGTTGTCCTCAAGTGGACAATTTTGAGAGGCATTGTTTTCACGCCTCAGCACGTTTCAGTGGGATCAAGCCCCGGTTACCCACAGCATTGCTCAACTCAGCAACACATCCTTGAACTGGCTTTTCCTCTAGTCCCTCATGCTGTTTCTTTGGGTCACTTCCCAAATAAATTATTTGCATGGAAGGCTTTATCTCAGGCCCCATTTTTAGGGCTAGCCCAGGATAACACAGGGTATTAGAAGGTCCTAGAAAGCATCCCTGGGAAAGGGAATTACTCCCTGGATGGATGACAAGGACTCTGTTGCTGGTGGCAAGGGGGTTAGTGATGACCCTTACCCAGCGTAGCCTCTCAATTACTAAGACTTCGCACCGCAGAGGCATGTAGTGAGCACTAGGCTTTGCAGTTGTTCTAGCACTTCGAAGATATGGGAGAAAGATAATCATATGGATTATGGAGTTAGTTGGCTTTTACTTGCTGCTTTCTCCTGCTTTGCAAGAAGAAAATGAGAGGCTGTCTATTGAGGCCTTTACATGAACAAAGCCAGTTACCACGAGAGTCACTCATTTGCTAGCCCCTCCCCACCTCTTGTGTTGGCTTCTGATTTCCTTTTCTGTCGCACTTGTCCTGGACCCTCCTGCTCCCCGTGATCACCTCCCATATAAACCCAATCTTTGCACCCAATCCTTGGGTCAGCTCTGCTTCCGGAAGGAGTTTATGTTAAGACATGAAGAAGCCAATGGTGGCCCAGGTCGCCAAGTTTATGACTTAAGAGATTTAAAGGTTTCTCAGGGGAGCAGCCGATCAGTATGACTCAGAGTAAGCATCATAATACTACAGATAGCTAGCTTTGAGTTCTTATTGTATGCCTGGCCCTGTTCCAAGGCCTTCACATTTGTCCCCTGAATTCACTCCCACAGGAGCTCCATGACAGGTATTATTTCTCATTTGTCCCTTGTAGAGGGCTGAATGGTGAATCCGCAAAAGCATACATCCAAATCCTAACTCCTGGAACCTGGGACTGTCATCTTATTTGGAAAAAGGGTCTTTGCAGATATAATTAGGTGATGGATCTTGAGATGAGGTCGTCCTGGATTATCTGGCTGGTTCCTAGATCTTGTAACCAGTTTTCTTATGAGGACGGCAGAGGCAGAGAAGGTCCTGTGAAGATGGAGACGAGATTGGAGTGATTCTGCCACAAGCCAGGAAGCACCAGGAACCACCAGAAACTGGGAGAGGCAAGTAAAGTTTCTCCCCTAGAGCTTTTGGAGAAAGCGTGGTTCTGCTGACTCCTTGATTTGGGACTTCAAGCCTCCAGAATTGTGAGAGAATACATTTCCATTGTAACCCACCAGTTTATGATAAATTGTTAACACAGTCCTAGGAAACGAATCCATTCTCCCTTCTCCTCCGGCTCAACTCTGGGCTGATTTCTCCACACCATACTAACGGGAAATGCAGCACTTATGGGCACGCCTCTGACGCTAGCTAAGTCGTGAGGATTGAGGAAGTCCGTGAAGATTGGCCTAAATATTTTTGCAGCCTCCCAAGATCTGAGAGCAAAGTTAAATGGCAGTGATAATAAATGTGCACTTGTTGAGTCGTCTTGCCTGCCTCTCACGGTGACTGTGGGCCCTGTTTCCTGCAGACACATTTTCAAGGTCGCTCCATTTTGTTTTAGAATTTAGGCATGGTTTTTGCTTTGTGTCTTTGCTTCTGAACTTTCACTGGGATAGCGATAGGGACACCAGAAAGATCATTTTAGTGCTTTCAGGATGCACTTCTGAAAAGCACAGTGGTCTAACAATTATTCTCTTTATTTTATTATTTGTTTTTTGAAGAAGGGGAAGAGAGGGAGAGAAATACCAATGTGCAGAAGATACCTTGCTTGGCTGCCTCTCGCACACCCCCAACTCGGGACCTGGCCCACAACCCAGACGTGTGCCCTGACCAGGAATGGCCCTGAACCAGGGACCTTTTGGTTAGCAAGTCAGTGCTCAATCCACTGAGCCACACCAGTCAAGGCTAACAATTTTTCTTTTTTAAATGAGGTGGAAATGGGGAGAATGGTCCATGCCTAAAAAAAACAAAAGCATTTAAAAACTGTCACCAGTAAGGATCCCATCTGACAAAACTGTTGTCTGATGCTGGGATTGGAAGTACCTGAATGCACCAAAGGAATAGTGTTTAATCATGAAAAACAGTGATCTTATGTAACCAGGAGAAACATTTTAAAGTGTCAATCCAATCAAGGTTGTTTTTTCTTCATGTAAATCGGCTTACCCTGAGATGTAGTTTGTATCTTTGTTTCACAAGAGGAGTTCAGAGTAGATATATTCAACTTTACCATCATTACAGGCTTCTGAAATATAAGAGAGGGAATCATTTAGTAAACTTAGGATATATATTCATAGAGTCTCTAAAAAATCCTATTTTAGTACCTGGGAGGACTGACAGAAGCAAGTATTAACTGTTGTTTCTGGGCTATATCAAGTAATATATTCAAGTTTTTAATCAAGTAATTTAAATCAAGTTTGTAAAAAATTATAGTTTATGTTCAATATTGTTTTATACTAGTTTCAGGTGTGCAGCACGATGGTTAGACAATATACTTCACATAATGTTCCCCCCAACAGTCCCAGTCCCCACCTGGCAGCGCACGCAGTTATTACAGTATTACTGATTATATTCTCTATGCTGGACTTTACATCCCCATGACTGTTCTGTAACCGCCAATTTGTACTTCTTAATCCCTTCACCTTTTTTCAGGTCATTTATTCTTGAAAATGGTTTAGAAGTGGCCCTGCATCCTCCTCTCTGGATGTTTTACATGATACTCTCCCTGTCCCATCCGTCCCCCCCCCCCCATGCACCCATCTCCGGATGGATTTGTTAGGAGCCGCGGCATCGGTTGCCCCTGGCCTGCCAGATGGGCATGTTGCCTCCATCCATCCCATTCTTGGACTCCTAAAGCCCTGGAGTATGGTGCCATCCCAGGGACCACTGTCTCATAATAGCATCTCTTATCCCAAATGGTGGCTCACCATGATTTTGTGGTTTCACCTCCCAGAACACAGGGGTGACATAATGTATCTCCTGAGAGTGTTCGGCTTCTGGGCAAAAGACAAGGACAGAGTTACTGGGCCTATGAACCAAATCTCATCATCTGAAGGCAGTGGCTTAGCTCTCTGCCCTCACAATGGTGCGTAGCCTCTGGACTTTGTGGAGAGTGCTTACCATCTCGGGCTGTGGAAACACACTGCCCTGGGTCCAAGCCTGGCGCAGACCCCTTATCTGTAAAATGGGAAAGACACCTGAATGAATTAGTGCTGTTTATGTTGGACAGGGCAAGTAAATTGCTTTGCACTGTGCCTGGAACATGGCCGGCCCTCGGTCAGCGTTGGCTGGGATTGTTCTTTGCTGGTCAAAGCCGTGGGTCTGTTTACCGTAAAGGAGCGTACGATGCCTGCTTTAAGAGGTGATCATAGAGGAGCTTTGGGACACAGTGACAGTCATTCCAAACTGATATTTTTTTAAAATCTCCAAGATATGTGAAGTGAAAAAGATCAAGATGTAGAATAGCTTGTGACATGCTGCCATTTCTACCATTTGTTTATACATTAGCATATGCATAGACTATCTGTGGAAGAGTTTTGAAAAACTAGTTGTTGTCCCCGGAAAGTGGGACCGGGCATCAGGGATGGGAAGGAAACATTGTACCCATATGTCTATAACCCTAAAAAAGATGATGAAAACCTGAAACCAACTAGTCAAACCAATCAAAATATCTGACAAAGTTCTCTTACCTGCTTGATTTTCACAGGTATTTGCATATAGTTCATCCTCCATGGGTGTATTTCCATAGTCTCTGGGCGCCTTATCTCTCATAGCTTTTCCTACATAAGTTGGTACAGAATTAATTAAATTAAACCAGTTCAGCCATATTTTTCTCATCTCTGCCAAGGAGCAGACTGCCCCAAAGTTCTGAAACAAAGAATGACCATCTCTAATGGGAAAACCGTGGGCTCCTCAAGAAGTCCATAGCCCCTGCTTCTCCAAGCCGGAGCCGTCCTGATTGATTTAATGGACGAGTGACATCCTTTGCCTGGAGATGGCCAGAGACACGTTTTCTTTTCATATATAATGAAATATTCTTCAGATTTAAAAGAGAAGGAAATTCTGACACATGTACAACATGGATGAGCCTTGAGGACATTATGCTAACTGACATAAGCCCGTTGCAAAAGGACAGATTCTGTACTATTCCCTTTATGTGAGGTCCTCCCTAGAGTAGTCAAAATCGTAGAGACAGAATTGTAGAAGTAGAATGGTAGCGGCCCCGGGCGAGGAGGAAGGGGAAATAACTGGGGAGTTAGTGTTCGATGGGGACAGAGTTTCAGTTTTGCAAGAGCAGGAGGCTGTGGGTGGATGGTGGAGACGGTTGCCCAGCAATGACAATACTTGATGCCACCGAACTGGATACTCCACAGTGGTTAAGACGGTGCATTTATTATTTTATATGTATTACTACAATTTAAAAAGTAATTTTAAGAAGTGAAAAAAAGTATTAAGAATTTCAAGGCCAGTGTGGCTCCGTTGGTTGAGCACCATTCCGTAAACCAGAAGGTTGTGGGTTTGATCCCTGGTCAGGGCACATGCCTGAGTGTGAGTTCAGTCCCTGGTCAGAGTGCTTATGAGAGGCAGCCAATCGATGTTTCTCCTTCACACCGATGTCTGTCTCCCTCTCTCTAAAATCCATAAGCGTGTCCTCATTAGGTGCACATTTTAAATAAAAGAAGAATTTCAAGACAGTGACAGCAGCAGAGCATTAAGGTAAGTGTGGGGCCCTTTGTAGTCCAGGCCTCACGTGACTGCACAGGCCGCACACCCATGAGCACTCTAGATAAGAAAAGCTCTTACCTGAGAAAAGACAGTAAGTCTGTCATTTACCTTCCCCTTTACCAGCTTTTTCTTCTTTTTTATTTCTTCACATCCATTTCTGATTCCTCTTTCCCTTCCTCCTCACCCTCTCCCCTGCTACCTACATCCGAAACGAAAAGCTCCAAAGAACTTACTTGCTTTGTACTTTGGTATTATCCAAAATCCCAGAACTGGGATTGCCACGATCAGTACCAGTAACAACACCGGAAGCAGTAGCTGCAGGCAGAATGGACAGCTCTCTTCTCCTGGAAGAAAACAGCATTCACTGGTCACTGCACAGCTTTCCTTCCCAATGATGCTGAACTGTGACATGTTCTGGAAAGGACAATCACTGCCATCTCCCAAGTTAACCCACATACTAGGCACCCTGGTCCCTGCGGTGCTGTGGACCCCCGCAACTCTTCAGCGTTACCTTGTTGGCCAATGAAGGTGTTAAAGTCATGACCAACTGCACCTTCCACAGAGGTCACACGAGGAAAAGTAGCACAACATTTAACAGACTGACCGATTAGTGGCCACAATGTTAGTGTCATAAGCCTCAGAATGGCCTGGCCATTTATTGGACAAAGCCCCTTAGTTATGTTGGTATGATTTACATCACCCAAACAGCTACCATGTATTGAGCATTAACTCCATGGCAGACACTGTGTTAAGCATGTTACACGCATTGCCTTATTTATCTTATTAAGTATCACTTCCATTTTACAAATGAGTATAGTGAGGCTCAGAGGGTTAAGTGACGTTCTTAAGGTCATGCAGCCAGTAAATGGAAGGGCTGTGATTTGTGGGCAAAAGCCTGATTCTGGGGGCCCGACTCCCACAGACGCCTTACTTGTTAGGACTTAACGCCGGGGTGTGGGCTCTGTACTTCTGAGGACGAGGCTGGGTGAAGTGCTCAGTGCCCAAGCATGCCTCTTGTCTGGGCTAACCTAGATTTTGTCCTACCCTTCTGCCTCAAGCAATATCCCTTCAGAAGGAACTGGAAGGCCAGGTTTGAATCTAGAATTCCCAGACTCCTTGGAGTTCTGCCCTGGACACAGCAGCATGGAGGTGGGCCAGCCCCAGCTCCAGCCTGGCTCCCCTCCTACCCAGGCTCTGACCTGACCTTAAGGGGCCTTGCGTGCATGTAGACCCCCAGCCTGCATATCCAAATGCCATTCACCCTCCCCCCACTCCCCACAAGCAGCTTGTTAGCTTGGATCCAGGAATGCTCACACCCTCACTGTGGTCCACCCGTGGGGGAGCAGAAGCTGGGATAGAGACTCGTGTGGGCCCTATTAGGTGGGTCCTGATCTGACTGGATAGGGAGTTTGGAGCCAGGTAACCAGAGAGCGGTTAGGAAAGTAGGAACATAGGGTCCAGGTGGGCATATTCCCATGGCCCCCTGGACTCCTCAGACAGTGAGAATGTGCACAGCCAAGAAGCCCCAGAGCAGTGCCCTCCAAAACACAGGGAAGGGACAGGGGTCTCTCTTGCCCCAAGCTAAGGGTGGTATTGGAAGTCTAGATTCACCAAGTATTAGTTTAGCAGTGGGGCAATGAACAGCTAAGTCAGTGTTAGAAGCCAACAAAAAAAAAAAAAAAAAAAGCAAAAGCAAAGAGACCTGACAGCTCCAAGAGATGCAGATTCTGATGTGATTGCTTAGAACGCCAGCCGTGGAAGGTCAAGGCAGGAGGCCTTATTACAAGGTCCCTTCCTGCCAGTGTCCAGGCTTTTCTACGTTTTTTTGTTTGTTTGTTTTGTTTTGTTTTTATGGCAGAAAGCAGTCCCGTCACAGCTTGTGTGGACCCTACCAAAGGAAAGGCACTCAGAAGCAGGTGACCCAAGTGGGAAGTGGACAGGCAGAAGAAGTTTCTGGAAGCAAACCCAGACCTTGTTGAAGGAGCGCAGGTAGCTCTTACCTGCTGAGAGTATGGTGACGGGCTGACTGTATTTCACGTGGTCAGGCAGTAGGTTTTTAGCTTCACACCTGTACTTTTGCCCTCCTCCGGTGTTCTTGGTTACATTAAGCTCAGCAGGCTCCCTTTCATACTTGGTAATCACTGGTGACAGGGTGATGTTGTTTTCAAAGAAAGTGTAATTGATGGGCAGGGAGCCGGAGGACGAGAGGCAGTGCAGTGTTATGTAGTGTTTGGTTTGTTTTGTAACGTTCAGCACTGGACTGGTCACTGGCTCTAGAAAAATGCAAGTGCACGTTATACAGGGGTAGGCAGATTGGGTTCGCTTGCTCAGTCCACAGACATGGATCAAACCCCTATTCTATTTCTTGATGTGGACCCATAGGTGAATGACATCCCTCTTGAGAGGCGAGAGGCTAGCAGCCCAGTGGGAAAAGCCAATGAGTATGTCACTAAACCCATGCAGTATGACATGGTCCCGGTGCTGAGGAAGCCAGAGAGTGGGCATTGTCTCTGCTTTGAGGAATTAGAGTGAAAACTTGCCTTTCATTAGAAATTCTTTCATCAGAATTCATAATCTCTGTACTGTTAATAATGAGTAGAATTTTGTGAAAGTTTCAGTTCCAAGTATGAAGTTGAGAGGTGCTTTTATTCCCAATCCTTATAAGGTTACAGCGAGGGTTTTAAAAAAATCTTAAAATACCATCTTTTCTAATAGTATTTTCTTTTACAGAATTCAGCTGTAACTTCCTCCCCAAAGCAGGAAGTAACCCTTAAATAGGTTTAAGGGAATTTCTCAACAGGAAATGTGTGAGTCTGTCAGTTTGTACCCTATTTCATGAGAGAACCCAGCTGTAGGATTTATAATGTAATTCATTAATAAGACAGTATTATAGGAAAGGAAGGGTAGTGGTTGGGTATTCATCATGTGCCAGGCTCACTACCCACATGATCTCATTCCACTTCATGATAGCACTGCAACACGGATAGTGTAACACCCCTTCTAATTGTGATTCAGAGAAGTTAAGAAACTTAGCCAAGGACACACAGCTAGCAAATGGCAGAGCCAAGACCAACTCCCAAGAAGATTTTTTTTTTTTTTACAATATCAATTGGCACAGAAACAATGAAATAGAGGGACCAAAGTATAAGTAAAATCAAAGAAAATAATTTAGAGCCTCCTTGCCCCACCCCTTATCTGAGCAGGAATCCCTGTGGCGGCATCTTTGACAGAGTGCCATCCAGGGAGAGTGGCCTCAGAGAGCAGCTTTGTTTGGGAATAGCACCACTAGGACGTTCTTCCTTTGGAACTGAAATCTCCCTCCTGTAATTTGCAGGAAGGAGGAAACATTCATGAGGAATCAGAGAGCACAGACTCCTCTCTGAGATGGGATGATTCAAGGGGGACCAAGGACTGGCATCTAAAGTGACTGGAAAGATGGAACCTTTCCAGAGAGTTTGCACAGCACTAGGAAAGGCCGTTAGAGCAACACAGTCACCAGGCGAAGGGAGTTGCTACGCTTCAAGAAACTAGTTACATTTTAAAAATTTCAAGTCGTCCTTTAAGGCCTATTCAGCAGCCACCTTCCTTACAAGATCTTTCCTAAGTCCTTCAGAAAGAAGTGCTCCCTCCTCCTCTGCCTCCTCCAGCCCTTATCTCACCCCTATATTATTTTTTCTACATCTTAGTACATGATCTACTTGGCTGTCTCATGGCCACCTCCAACGTAACCTGTGTGAAACTGAACTCTAGTTAATCTGCTGGTATATCCAAATGGTTAATGAGTTAACCAGCAGGTAGATAAACATATATTAAAATCCTATGCTCTTAAGAAATATTTATTTATTCATGCATTCATTCATTCATTTTATTGTGGTAAGAACAGTTAACATAAGATGTACCTTCTTAACAAATATTTAAGTGCACAATACAGTATTACTAATTATAGGCACAATGTTGTACAACAAAATGTCTATAACGTATTTTTCTAGTGTAACCAAAATTTATACCCATTGAACAAATCCCTATGTCTCTGTTCTTGCATTTTTGCGCATCTCAGTAAATGGCACTATTCCTCAGCAGCTGATCCCATTAGATATCTAGAAGTCATTCTTGATTCCTTCCTAACCTTTGCTACCTGTGATTCCAAATCTAATTATCTAGCAAGTCCTGTTGTTTCTTCTTCCACATCTGTCCATCCCAACCACTGTTTGTCTCCGGGTGACTGCAAGAACTTCTTAATCAATCCCCAACACGATCCACTCTGGCCCTGACCCACCTAGACTGAATTAACTTCTCAGGTGACGAGGTTGGGCCGTAGGCCTTGCTGGGCTTGGCCCCCCTCCCTCTCCACTCTCCCCCGGAGTCACTTTCTCCTCATCAGACCTCCGGCTATACCAGCCTTCTCAACCAGCCAAGTTCTTTCCCAGGCTGGAGCCGCTGAACAGGCTATTGTCCCTTAACTAGAGTCTCTCTTTCCCTGTCTCTTCACAAAGCTAACTCCTTCTCATCCTTCAGGGCTCCACTTAAATGGAATCTCCTTTAAAAGACCTTCCCTAACAACCCTGAGTAGATCCTTCCCCTACCCGCTGCTTCTCTCCATCACTGTACTGGTTTCTTTCTCTTTATAACAATTGACACAGTTTGTGATTATGAATTTATTTGTTTGAGTATTTGGGTTTCGTGTCTCCCCAACTAGACCATAAGCTCCACCAGGGCAGGAACTGAAGTATATGCAGGGGTGGGCACATCTGGGATATCATTGAATATTTTGTGAGTGAATCCATGATTAATGAGCTTGTGTTCGTGACTCATATCCCTGAATGGGTGGGGGAGAAGATGATGTCTTAGGCAACATCAAAACCTCGACAGCTCATAACACAATTATGTGCACAGAAGAGGCATTCAATAGATTATCTATTAATCTAAGCTAAATGAAAATAATACAGTTTTATAATCTATTAAAACAGCCCTACAATTACTGTAACAAGTGGCAGGACACTCGTGCATTTACCTGGAAAGCAGGATGTGGGAAGATTTTTATACATATCTGTGGGAAGGAAAGTTGGGAAATGAATACTTGGTTTTTAAAATCAGCTAGCTTATTTAAGGCATCAGCCATCAAGTTAATAAATCAGCTAAGACTGAGCGTATTCACTGCAGGAGTATAGGCCTCTGTTATCCAAAGGGAGGAAGCCCACGCCAGTGGTGGGTCTTGCCATGTCTTCTCATATTGAATCTCCGTGATTTGACGGGCAATTAGATGCTTTCCCTGCCAAGTAAGTGCCTATCTTCCTCACCCTATTCTGCCCACTGTGGACTGAGATTCTTACCCAGAATGAAACCAAACAGTGTTAGAGTCATACTGCCTGTCTTCTTAATTCATGTTTTCATTCTGAGGACTGGAGATATATCTAAGGTATATCCAAATGGAATATCCAAAGTCGCCTAGGAAGTTGTGGTACACAGGTTCCCTGCCGTCCATTTCATGGCTTTTTCTGTGACATAGGTATCCCCTTCTTTATGCCACTTTGCTTTTATGAAAGACCTATGTTAATTACTGCTTTTGAGGATTTTTGCTTTTACCAAAAAAAAAAAAAAAAAGAAAAAAAAAGTGAAAAGCAAAAACAGTGTTCAGCGTTGGTTTTGCAACAAGCTGTTATGGAGACTTTGCAAGCCCCCAGCAGCGAGGGGGGCCCCGCCCATCTCCTTTCCTGGGAACGTGCTCAGCATCTCAGCATCAAGCGCCAGAGCTTTGAACTGTGCTTGTCAGTGGCTGTGCTTTATCTTAATTTATTTTGTGCATCCCTTAGCAGGATGTGTCCTAAGGTATCAGAACAACCTAGGAGAGATTGTGAGGGTGTTACGCTTAGTGCAAAACTGAACATAATGAAGCATATTTGGTATGATTTGGTAGGTTATTTTGGGGGTCTGGGAACACAAAAAAATGTTTCCATATAAATAAAAGGTAATTGCTTCTTTGCTTTATGCCATTGTGGCTTACAAAAGGTTTTCATAGGAATACTCTACTCTCAGATAGTGGCGGAACCCTGTACCAGGCTGCCCAGTGCAGCAGGAGTCTGACAATGAGAGAATATTACCAGCCAGGGTGCCGCCCTCACATTACCCACTGCATCCCAGCACCATGTTTTCAGGGGTTTCTCCTTTCTTCACATTTATTTTATAATTTTGGCTTCTATTCAGTTTGTGTTCAAAATTGTCCTAAGATCGCTGTTTCTAACCCGGAGCCCATGGCATCCCCTGAAGCCTTGTGCAGAAATTTGCATCTGTAGTCACATGAACATGTCTCAGGAAAAGTATCCATCTGTATCATGATACTGGTAACATGGTTATAACCTAAAAAGCCAAGAACCATGGGCCTAGAGCAAAGATGTCCAACAGAACTTTCTGTAATAATGGAAATGGTCTGTGTCTGTGTTGTCTAATACAGTAGCCATCTGTGGCTACTGAACACTTGAAATGTGACTAATGAGGCTAAGGAACTGAATTTTTTATTTCATCTATTTTAATTAATTTGAATTTAAACTAAAATAGTCACATATGGCTAGTGGCTACCATACTGGAGAGCATAGACCTAGAGATTCACTCAAAGATTTGATCAATGCCCTGGCTTGTGTGGTTCAGTGGATTGAGTGCTGGCCTGTGAACCAGAGGGCCGCTGGTTCTATTCCCAGTCAGGGTACATTCCTGGGTTGCAGGCCAGGTCCCCAGTAGGGCGTGTGCGAGAGGCAACTGCCCATTGATGTTTCTCTCCCTCTCTTTCTCCCTCCCTTCCCCTTCCAAAAATAAATAAATAAGGAGGGGGAAAATGGGGGAAAAGGTACAGGAAATAAGAAGCATAAATTGTAGGTATAAAGTAGACAGGGGGAGATTAAGAATAGTATAGGAAATGGAGAAGCCAAAGAACCTATACATATGACCCATGGACATGAACTAAGGCGGCGGGGGGCGGGGCCAGGGGAGGAAGCTGGTGGGAGAGGAGGTGCAGAGTGGAGGGGAATAAAGGAGGGGGGAATGGGACAACTGTAATAGCGTAATCAATAAAATATTTTTAAAAAGAACAAAAATACAAATAAATAAAATCTTAGAATAAAAAGATTGGATCAATAAGGCGGGACACCTTTGTTTAGAAGACTCCAGGTACACTGTACATGTGCTATCTGGAAACCCTCTCTCCCTCTTCCAGGAGTTCGTGGCCAAGGTCACTGTCGCACAGGAGCCCATTCACTCCAGGCTGTGGGAGTCTTAGGGTGGGAGGATGAGAGAGAAAGATAGAGAAGTGAGAGAAAGATAGAGAAGTGCTTGGGCAGGAAGAACACTGGGTGATGGGGCGCCTGGAAGGTGGTCGCTGCAAGGGGCGGGGCGGGGGCAAAGCCTGGGGCTTCGGGGGCCCTTGCCACAAGGTCCAACGCTGCTGGTAAGACTTCTCACTTGACTCTTCAGGGGAAGAGTCATTTTGCCTACCTGATGGGGATCCTCGAGTGAAAGCACCTAGAAAAGATTTCAACAATTTTCCAAACTGTTCATGTGTTTTGTCTTAGGCGAGAGCCTTCAGACGAGAAAGTGAAATGGAATTATTCAGAATAAAGATCTCAGCGATCTACTCCCCAGGCTGACAAAGGGAGCAGCGAGCCCGTTGTGAAATGGAAGAGTCCAGCAAATCACAGGGCCCCGAGGGGCGCTTGCTCCACTTACCGAGCCATGTGAAGTTGAACTCGCGACTGTATATCGAGGAGTTGCAAACTTGCACTTTACATTTGTAGGGCCCCACATCATCGGCTTCTGAGATGCGTAGGTAAAAAGTCACAGACTCACTTTTGTTATGCTGTATTCCTATGCATTTTTTTTGCCGAAACAAAGAATAGGTGATTTGTGGGAATTTGTTCCTGTTTAAACAAATTATAGATACATTTTGACCCTTCATGACTGTTTTCGTTTTTGAGTCCAAACTTGGAGAAATGAGTTCTGGAAAACAAAATCACACAAGAGACAGTTCTTGTTAACATTTCTTGATAATAACTCACTAGTCGTCTGGCCACATTTCGTGGGTCACGGTGATGGAGACACTGTTCTCGGTGAACTTTCCTAAGGGGGCATTTCTTGCCTACACAGCCAGGAGGACCAGTGTGTGACGAAGCCACAAGGCCTACAGAGGTCCCTCCCAATGAGAGATCATGGCCTTGAGAAGCTCTTTTGTATTTGTTATCTCTCTGGCCAGCTAAGTGCCTGAAGTAGACTCTCTAAAGACTGTCTGTGCTGACATAGAAATATTAAAGTTCCAGGTGCTAAGACCAGATATTATGTCTGGTAGCTTGTTTTGTCCATTATTCGTCTTAAATTTCTTATTTTGGAAAATCAAAACTGTAAAAATAACAGCAGAGAAGAGAATATAATGATCCCCCATGACCCTATCACCCAGCTTCAACAATCATCAACTCATGGTCCATTCTGTTATACAGGTCCCCCCACCCCTTTCCACTATTTTAATGCAAACCCCAGACCACATGTTATTTCATCCGCAAATTTCAGTACTGAGAAAGAAAAAAGCAGTCCCTGACGGTTGGGAACTCGCTGGCTAGGACCTGACCTGTCATTCACAGCTGGAATACCAACACCAGACAAGGCCACTCTGTCACCATGTTGGATCAAGGCAAAAACAAGATGACACCGTAATCATGTCTGGACACAGACAAAGACATGAACATTGTCCAAAGTACAAAAATGGCCAAACATCCCCCTGAATTGATTAATAAGAGTGACCGCTGCTTCTTTATCGGTCACAGCTTTCGCTTCGCTCTGTTTTTGCCTATTAGAAGAGAATTCTTGAGATAATTCAATCATATCAGTATCTCTACTTCCTAAAGGGATCCAATCCAGAGAAGAGCCTGCTGCTTTGCACTTTCCTCCAAATCACCTCACACAGATCCAAATCTTATCATAAGACCTTTCTAACACCTTTCTTGCTAACATATCCCATGATTTCCATGGTAGCCATTTTCTCCCCAAGCCCAACTTTGTTTAACTACATGTGTATCCCTAGTGATTTTTGGCTGGAGGACATTGTTAGTTTATATTTCTAAAAGATAGGACTCCTTTGTAAACGTAAGGATTACCATTACTGCACATGCAAGTTAACTAAACATAAGGATTACCATTATTGCATATAAAAATTAACAATATATTTTAAATGTCATTAAATATCTAGTTAGTGTTCAAATTTCCCCAATTGTTTCTTTCTTTCTTTCTTTCTTTCTTTCTTTCTTTCTTTCTTTCTTTCTTTCTTTCTTTCTTTCTTTCTTTAGTGTTCAAAATGATCCGTTTTAATTAGCTGATATGTTTCTTATGCCTTGTTAAACCTGAAAACCTTTCCATTCCCCCCCAACCTGGCAATTCATTTGTTGAAGATAGCATATGGTTTGTTCTATAGTGTTCCCCACGGTCTGGATTTTGTAGGTCATGTTCCCACGGTATCCTCTACCATGTTCCTCTGTTACCTGTCCAGAGGCTTGATGGGATTCAGGTTAGCTTTTATTTCATAAGAATGCACCTTAGGGGCTGGTGTGTACTTCCATGAGGAGGTACATAATGTCTGATGGTCTCTCTTTCTGTTAGTGGGCTTTAACAATAATCACTCAAAGCATGATTTCATTAGAGGTTGCAAAATGATAATATACTAATTCTATTATTCTTTCTTCATTTATTATCTGAAATTATCTGAAGAGAAATATGCCCTTCTCAACTCTTTGGTCATATACTACAGTTTGCACAGAAACAGCAGGACATGTGCTTACTACCTTTTTCCGCTTATTGACCAGTTTTGAAAATAATGAATTAGTTTCCTAGCATATTCTAACCATGAGACACTTCTTTTATTGTTATTTTTTTGTTTAAGAATCATTTTGAACTGAGATTTAAATATATTTAATGTGTTTCGATCCATTGAGGTTATTATTCCCATTGTCCCATTTTTTTTGGCCATGGGAAGCATCTCTAAACTGGCCCTGAGTCCTTTTGACATGATTCTAATAGTTTTTGATAGCTTGTATATTTGTATTTTATTATTAAAAAATGCCAAGGGGTGTGGCATAGGAAATAGCCCTCATGAGGAAATTTTATTTAAGAAATAAGGTTATAAAAGAATTTGGAGGAATGTAGGGAAATGTGTTTATACCACCTGCTAGGAAAACGTCTTCCTAATAAGACACACAAAGTAGCAGCCATAGAGAAAAGACTGAAAAAATTGACTACCCCAGAAACTTCTCTATGGTAAATTTAAGACAAGTGATAGATAGCTTAGAAGTAAATGCTACTTAAACCACAAATGAAAGCAAAACATTCTTTTTCTATATACATCAACAGCAAATCAATAAGAAAAAGACACAATAAAATAAATGGGCAAATAATATAAATAAGTAATTTCTAGAAGAAATGCAGAAGGCCATTAAACAGTGCTGGGGCCAAGGGAGGAGGAGGGAAGCGTTTAGACCCCTCAAAAGTGCCATCAACCTCCCTCCACTCTTTGATTTGGAGAATTAACATTTTCGCAGTCTTACTTACATAAGCTCAGCTTTGAGACAAGACCTCACCTCTCTTCCCCCCAGATGGCCATTATTAAATTCTCAGTGTATGGGAAGGCTGGAGCTTTCCTGGTCCATCAACATGAAAAGGATGCTCATCTGCATGAACGATGAGGCAACTACAAGTTGTGATCTTATTTTTGACTCATCAGATTGGCAAGATTTAAAAAACTGATTTGCCCTGGCTGAGGTGGCTCCGTGGATTGAATGCTGGCCTGTGAATCAAAGGGTACAGGTTCAATTTCCCATCAGGGCACAGGCCTGGGTTGCAGGCCAGGTCCCCAGTGGGGGGGCGCTCTAGAGGCAACCGCACATTGATGTTTCTCCCCTTCCTTTCTCCTTCCCTTCCCCTCTCTCTAAAAATAAATAAATAAAATCTTTTTTTTTTTTTTAAACCTGATTGTATCCACCTTCAGAGAGGGGATGGGAAAACACACTCCCACAGTGAGAGGTCACTGTTGGTGACCATGTACAAATTCAATGTGTTGGGAGGACCTCTGTAACAATTTAAATGGTTATGCCCTTTGACCCAGCAATTTCACTCTTTGGAACTTATCCTACAAAGATGCTCTCATACTCTCATGTGTCCACAAAGGATATTTTATACAAGGATGTTTATTGCAACATTGTTTATATTACAAAAAAAAAAAGAGGGAAAACTCAATAAGGGAATGGTGAAATGAATTATGGCTGAGCCTTATGAAATGCCATGCTGCTGTTGGAGGAAAAAAGAGCTAAATATACATTTAGTACTTAAAAGATGTCTGTGATTTACTGTAAACAAAAACAGGACAAGTCACATAAGAATTTGTTTACGATGATATTGAAGAGAAAATGACTCATAATAGCTCTAGCTTCTGGAAATGGAGAGGGGAGGGAGACTGGAGAGGGTGTGACGAGCTTTCACATTTGTACACTAATGGCAACTTGGGCTGACGTTTCTTCTTGGTGGCTCACGATATCTCAGGCACTGTGCTGAAGGGGTATGGCTTGTCTCAGTCCTCATAACGGCCCTCTCAGGTAGATGCTTGTATTACCCTCATTTAATAGAGGAAAGAAATTTAGCTTCAAGTTGTTGCCTTGGGTACCCAGGCCATCAGGCTTAGGACCAGAGCTGTGGTTAGTCTAGCTTTGCGATGATAAGCTACCTCTTAATATACATGTTTAATGCTGCTTGAATTATTTTACAATGACTGTGTGTTACTTTTCTAATTAAAAAACAATGACAGAGAAAGAAAGAAACATTTCATTGTAAAATCCAATCTCAATATTTTATCTCTGGATCTCAAGAAAGGTAACTCCAACTCCCTCCCTAAAATTAGTTCATTTTCAATGGCAGGTCACTCTGGTCATTTATCTAAAAGCATAGAGGAATTTTTTCATGAGCTATCATGTTTAAAGCTGACCATCCACTGTTTTTTTTTTAAAAGACAGTTTTAGTACAAAAGAGAAGTAAATGAAACTTACTGTTTGTATTTTCCATTGTCTTACAATCCAGTTCTGCTTTTAGAGTCGAAAGAGAGCAAAGGAGCACAAAAAAACTATTCCCCCACATCATTGTTTGGTTTTGAGATGCAGAGCTGCAAGCCTTAGATGCAACAGAAGAAAAAATGTCCCGATGTATTCATATGGCCCCGCATTCTTCCAAGTGAAATTGAAGAGGAGGCCAAAGGAGAGGTGGATCCATAGTGGTGAGTCATTTAAAGAACTTCCTCTTTTTCAACCAAGTTAAAGAAACACAGATCTCTGCAAAAGCTTGACCAAGGCATGTTCCTCAATGACTTCTGGTAAGAAGAGAATGCGGTAGGTCATGCAAACTCAGAATGGGAAATGGAGGAGAGGGAAAAAGAAAATTAAAACGATGACTGTTCTAATCGGGATGGGACATTGAACAGTGGGAAAAAGAAAACTAAAAATATGACTGTTCTTTTGTCCTTGTATAAACCCACCCGATCATGTCTCTCTGGATTTGGCCTCTACAAAAAGGAACCTAATGGAATTTGGCTTTAGTCTTGGGAAGCAAATATTGCTGTTTGGGGCGGGCACACACACAAGCATGGCATCCGAGACACCTGATTTTTCAATGTTGACTCCGAGGCCCCACTACAGACTCACTGGGGATGAAACTTGGGACTCTTGATTTTTAACAAGGGCCCCAGGTATCTCGGAGTCTCTGAATTACATTCCAGAATGTGTTGTGTTTCACTTCAGCCTGATCCACAATTCTCCTGGCTCAGCGAAGTGTACACAGATGAAGCCACACATTCCAGTGTCCCCACTCTGAAGTGGGGCGTAGGATGTGTTGAGGGGCCTCCCCAGTGGAGGGAGCTGTGACTGAGCCTTTGGGGTTATTGATTCTTGTTACCACCCAGGGTTGGCCCTGTAGCTCTTGCACATTCCTGCGGCCAGGCACCGGCTCCAGGGGGAAGCCAGGTCCCTGTCTGGCTACGGGTTCCTCTAGGACGCCATCTCACCTCTAGTATCAGCTCACCCCAGTGCTGCTTGCTCGGACGCCCGAGGCCCCAGGCTGCGTGCTCAGGCATTCCCAGCCCCACACCTAACGCCCTCTGGGTTCTGAGCAGAGCCAGGGCCTGCTGCGGATGCCCCCCTTCCCCCCTGGCTGGCCACTGCTGTCTGGAAGCAAATCCTCTTATTTAGCTCTGTTTGTAAAAGGCCTTAATTTCCTTCTGACAGTAGAAGCTACTCCTCAAGCACCTACCTTCTAAAAAAGACAGTGCTCAGTGATTGACAGTGATTTTCGTGTTGTGATATTGGTGGCAGTTTCTTTCACTAAAGAAGAGGAAGGGAAAGAACCCCAGGAATTGGATCTCTGGTGCAAGGACCTTGGGAGTGCTGGGATTCCTGCAAGGGAATCGGTGTTTTTGACACTTTACCCGCCCCCATCTCATCCGTCCTTGCCTGGGCAGAGGGCGGGGTGGGTCCCTGACAGCCATTGTGCCTGAGAAGACTGGGGGGGCCTTTCAGAAGAGCTGACTTGTCAGGGGCATTTGTGTGTGTATGACTTGCAGCTGGGCAGGAAGCTCGCAGACCACAGCTTAGACACAAATAAAGCAGAGGAAACCAGAAGCAGCGCCACTTAGAGCTGTTAGTAAACATTGCTAGGGGCGCTTTAGTGAGGCCCCTGGAAAAGGGACGTAATCGGTCAAGGGTTACAAAATACAGCAGAAGTGACAGCTCAAATGGAAAAAGACAAAGTTCATCCATGGACCTGGCATGTTCCTTGGGGCCCGAATCGCACCAAATCCACATTGTCATGGTCCGCAGTAATTCACCATATTGATAGATTAGTAGCCATAAATGCAGTCATTTAAAAGGTAAAGTAACTATATTCCTTTCTGTTGTCTGAGAGCTTTACACAGACAATCTCATTTAATCATTACAAAATCTCTAGGAGGCATGCAGAGGTATTATTAAAAGTATTTAACAACCAGGAGAGTTATATAAATATGTAACTCAATGTGTGGATTAAAATTTTTAAAATGTATTCCATGACCATTCCAGCTTTATCTCTAAATAACCTAAGCTAAATAACCTAAGTGCAAAGCTCTTAACAAGTGATATAAATTTTCCAGCAAATTGTTAACTGAATCATTAATTCTCATAATTTCCACAGTTTTGTTGATGTTTATAAATGGTTGGTGTGGTCTTTTGAGGCAGGGCTCACTGTCTGGGATGATTTGTTATGAGGAGCTGCCTTGAACTTTTCCAATGAATTTCTTGAAGTTGGTGGCTTTTGAAATTTCTCTTCATGTCAGTGCTATTGGTCATGGTGTTAAATCCTCAACTCCTGATGAAAAGTAACAATGATAAAATTTTAAAATGTCCCAGCCCTTACAATATTGTTTGAAAGTTTTCTATATCCAATATTTCTATTGTCTTATATTTCTAAATCACAAAAATCATTTAATCCACCAGCTTAATTTTATTTATCCTTCCACAGAAGTTCACAAATACCATTTGGTAAAGTGCCAGGATGTAATAAATTTAAATGACTTTAAAATTCATTTATTTTCACTTTTGCCCTTAAGCAACAAATGCATTTTCATATAGTAATTTATTTTTAAATATTATAGTTTTTCACTTGGAAGCGATACTTTATTTTGTTTCGGGGTAAGCAGCCGGCCATGTTTCTTCATTTTTATATAGTACCTTCCACTTTTCTTTCATTCATCTAATTAATCCTGTAATCCAATAAGCATTAAAGTCTGTTAGAACAGCACTCCTTAAGGATAAAGCTCCCTAAAATGTTTCATTTTCCAAAGGTGTTACTATTTCCATTAAAATAATCATTCAGGACTTCAGCATTTCCAAGCTCTACAGCTGCAGCACTGCAAGGTCTGCGTAAGGTCCGAGAGCCTCTGGGTTTCCTGGCCTCGATTCCTGAGCCTTGAGACATGTTACTACTTAATTCTCTCTGATGATGATTTGATGAAAGATGGTAAATAGAAAGTTTATCAGGAAAATACTTTAAATGATTGACATGATTCACATCTTTAGCTCCATCCCCTAGCGATGGAGGATTGGACACCTGAGCACAGGATCCTGAGCAGCAGAGCCTGAGATGGGAGTGATTGGAGTGAAGGGAAGGGGACTGGCAAGTAGGAGAGAACAGGAGAAGAAACTAAGTAAAGATAATTGTTCAGCTGCAGGTGGCCCACTGCCGGCTCCCACGGGTGTGAGTTGTACCATGGGATTTGATCCGTCTTATGGCAAGGGGAGATGGGTTTTTATTTTTTTATCCTCACCCAGGACTTTTTTTTCATTGCGGAGAGAGAGGAAGGGAGAGACAGAAAGAGAGGAAGGGAGAGAGAAGTACCGATACAAGAGAGAAACATCAGATGGTTGCCTCTTCAACACGCCTGGACCAAGAGATCGAACCAGCAACGTAGGTATGTGCCCTGACCGGGAATCGAACTCACAACTTTCTGTTTTGGAATGATGCTCCAGCCAACTGGGCCACACCAGTCAGGGCAAGGGAGCTGGGTTTTTACACCCTCCTCATCATACTGTCATTGGTCACGGGCCTGGGGAGGGCATGTGCACAGAACCACAGAGGCGCCTCTGGACAAGCTGTCCCGCTGCAGAGAGAGCGAGCCGCTCCATGCAGTCTGGAAGAGGGGAGCTGGCCCTGCCCAACAGCACTTGCCCACCAACAAACCAAAGGGTCTAGAAACAGTTTCTGAAATCCTGGCTGAGCCTCCAGGTTTCCCAGACTTCCTCTCTACCCTGCTGTGTACAGAATTCGGCAAATGCTCCATGAAACCTCACTGAAACCACCTCTCAAGCACTGACAATAAAATTTAGATACAGTATTTCAGATGTTCCTTTACCTCTTAAAGGGTTTAAGAGATGAACAAAAACAAATAAGCTGTTTTCAAAGTCTTGGATTTTATGGTTTAAGTAATTTCAAAATACATGTTATGGAAATAGTTGAAGTTTTGGAAAAAAGTGATGAAAGATTTATTGCCTTAATTTATACATTTTCCAAAATTTGTTTTTTTATTTGAATAGTTACATTTTTTTTAATCAAGCAGGGTCATTAATTTTGGTTGCAATGATAAACCCATGCTTTTAAATTCTTTTTTGAAATTCTATTAATTTCATGTCTAAAAATACTTAATTATTTAAAACTATACATTAGATTGTGGTAAAAAATCCTGATAACATTTTCTGAATATTCTTACCTGCTTTATAGATACAATTTTGATTTGAAAACTTTAAGGTTTTTTATGATCTCAAATATGTAAAGCAGATTGAAGTTATTCTTTTCTTTATTTTGTTCACTGAGATTGTAGAATTTATTAGAGCAGTGAGCTTTGCTAAAATATGATTCCCACCCTGATTAAAAAATATTTAGTATTTTAAACTTTTCACATGACATCCTCTGAGTCCCATTTATTCACAACACTACTGAATGTTGTTCCTATTTTTGTTATAATAATCAAATTGTTTTTCATTCCAGAAGTAGAAATCATTGGCTTTATTTTGTATTGTCCCTTGTACCCTGTACAAGGACATCCTCGGCAGTTCTGGTTTGGGCACTATGGCAGAAGATGTCTGGCCTGCAATTCGCTGCTCATCTCCTTTCTTGTCTGTTCCCACAGATTCTGTACTCAGTTGAATAGTGCCCGGCCCCAGGCTTCATATGCACCCAGCTCCTTAGCATGTGAGCTCATCTGGAAATTAGGTCTTTGCAGATGTATCAGTTAAGTTAACATGAACTCATGGTGGTATCCTAATAAAAAGGTGGCTTTGTGATTCCTCATAAGGGTTGGGGCTGACAGGGACCCCAGTAATTTCCCCTTGTTCTCCTATATACAAAGTGGCGTGGGCTGCTGCCCGGGAGGAGGCTCCATCTCCAGGCCCCAGAGTGGTGTCCACTTAGCCTCTCCCCCCTCTCAGGGAAGGGGCTACTGAGGATCCTGGGAAGATGGCGTCAGTTCACAGGCCGGCTCTGGTCTCACCCTCCTTCTCCTGATTCTTCTTTAGACTTGCTTCACCTGCAGCTGGGAATAGGGAGTTTGATGTCCATGCCTGGCCTGGGCTGGTTGAGGGCCACTGTTCAAGAACTACGCCACGTGAATGGATTCACTGGGGTCTTCCCTGCCTCCCTGAGTTTGTCG